TCCGTTCTCGAGTGTTTAATCGGGTTTCGAGGCAGGCTAAAGTGATACTGAGAAAATGGGACTTTTTCCCTCTCGCCTTTAGGAATTCTTTTTTCCAGCAAACCAGACAAAATATGTTCATTTTTCCTTTTTCCTCCTCTACATTTTGTGTACCATCAGCTGTAGAATGGGTATTATTTTTTGGCTAAGTCGTCCATTGCAGCATCAGTACGCAGGTTATTTGTTCGAATTTAGCCTGTATATACGTAAACAAGCAAACTTTCTATCTGGCAATCACGAGATGTTAGTTTTCGTCCGCGACTGGTTCCATTCGTCGGTTTCCCGTTCCCCGAGCTGGTTCACTGATATTTTCTTTTTGCCCATTTTTCTATTTATTAGTATATATTATTAAAATACTTTAAATATTTTCTTGTTTAAATTTCACTGCATGGTAAAGTTTTTCCTCGTTTTTCTTTTTTCTTTTCTTCTTTTCTTTTCGATTCACGTACGATTGAACCTCTAACAACAAATTAAAGAATACTGGTTCGGTTTGTCTGGTCAGTGTTTCAAATTTACGTTCATCATTTGAATTTTCATTTCATTTTGCTCACAAGTGGCCCGTTACTGCTTTCATTTTCCCTTTTTTATTTCTTGTTTTGCTTTCAGCGGTTTTTATATAGTTTTCCTATTTAATATTGCGCGAAATGACTTAAAAGCATTTTGACAAACCTCGATAAGATTTGACATTCCTGACTATCAAAATATTTCTCTGACCAAACAATACCTTGGCAACCTAGCGAGCAACCTGTCATTTCAAATGAAACTACACGCAACGATTTTGCAAGATTGTTCTCCTTTCTGACCGTTTTTAAGCACCCCACCTTACATTGGTGTAAAATGTCTCAAAAAAGCACTCGCAAGCGTTTATGAGGACTGAACAGCAACCCTGTCAAAGCGAAAAACACGAAAGCCACCAGGCACATCTTCATTATCGTTTTTGACCGATACTGGCAGCCCGGGGGGTTACTCGTGTTAATTTTTGCCGGGTATGTGTGGCCTCTCAGAGCCCCCACCCCATTACATTCTATTCTGTGGCCAATTATAGATCCCATCTTAGTCACTTTTGGGCAAATATGTAATTTTTGCGTCCCTAACTTAGTCACTTTCTATTTACGTATCTACCTTATACTGAATGAGGAACATCTACCAGGCCTTTAATTTGAAAAACAACAACACGATGCCAGTATTTGAAATCAGTGATTTTTTATAGTGTTGGGTTTCTTACACCCGGATCTTACGAGCTGCGAAAAAAGTATCTATATTTTATCTTGTTGGCTGTTGCTAATATTGATATATGCATGGGCGGATTTAGGAGTGCGTCGAGGGGCAGCAGCCGACCCTTTTCCTATGAAAGTTTGTATTATTTTTAAAGAATTCCGTCTCAGAAAAATAAAAAGTATCCAAAATAGAGCTGGTAAGTGTGCTGGCCTCCCCTCTCTGGACTCTCTCTGAATTTTCTGGATCCGCCCCCCGGGGGGCACTTGAGTAATTTTTGGGTGGGTATGCGCCGCCCGGGACTCCAAATTGACACCTCGTTCTAAAACAATTCCCCCTAAACTTGATACCCCGTTCTAGAAATGGGCCAATTTTTAATACCCCGTTCTAGAATTCGCCCTAAAACTGATACCCCTTTCTAGGAATGGGCCAATTTTTTATACTCTACTTTAAAAAGACATTTCTTTAGTTGTTCGACTTATACATCAAATAAATGCTTCTTCATAATCAGCAACAATTTTAAGCAGAAGATAAAGCCGTGATCCACAGTTTTTTATACCGCGTTCTAGAAAACGCCTCTGAAATGGATACCCCGTTCTAAATCAGGGGCTTCAAAATCATGATCCCGTTGGGCGGCACATACCCGTATAGGTTATGTATGAGAGTACCCCCCCCCCTCCCCCGGGATCCACCCCTGATATGATTAACAATAATATCGAGTTCAACTATACTTAGAACGCTTTTAACGCAATATAATGATTCAGTTCGGGTTGGCTCTTAATGATTTAAAGCGAGCCTTAAGCGTCCAATATCCTACTTTACATCATATTCATATCAGTCGACAACAGGATCTAATAATAATATTATGATCTCTTCGGCACTAAGCGAAATTTTATAGAGAATAGGTTATTTTGTTGCATGTAACAGCGCTATAAGTGATTATACATAGGTTTCCTTTGGAAATGTAAAATCAAATAGAAGTTAGGTATCAAAAGTCAAGTCATGTCATGTTTCTTTGTCTCTAAAATGGACTATTTAGTCAGCTGAACGCTGCATTTATTCAGTTATGCACACTGTGTGTACAGCCCCCGAAATGATACCGACCGCAAAATGATCCCCATTTCTCTTCCATTCTTGGACGTGATCGATTCTTTCTGAGTGAGTTGAATGCTTCAGAAGCTGGGGTATATGGGGAGATAGAGAAATTATGAAACTGATAGTTTTAACTTTGACTTAAATATTATCCGTGATGAAAAAAAAAAGAAAAAGAAAAAGAAAAAGGAGTCAGACGTCATAAAAGCGTCAAAACTTATTTACTCCTTTCCACACAATGTGGTCACACGCCGGTTAATTGCGTTCGTATATCAGTTATATTTGGCTCAAAGTTTACGAGCCGAATAAGACTTCTCAGTAGGCACATGAATAAATTATTACCACATTTTCAATCCGTGTCCTAGGTTGCAAGAGATTTGGGAAAATGTCGATTTATAAAACAACGAAAATGATTTCAACTTTCAGTCTCCAATGCCCTTTGTTTTCTAGTTAATTTGTGTATGAAATTATTTCCAGCCTCACATCGCGCGTAAAAGCCAGTAGAGTCTATTGTTATATTTTATTGATTGCCAACAACTTAGCCTGCGTAGCTGGCGGTTTGTGTGGGTGCGAGAGTGAAGTTTTGTGCGACGGTTCGCCAATCGAAGAGATAACAAAGATTTCAATTTCTTGGCGTAAAACAAAGGATTTATATTTTAGTTCTCGTTTTGAGAATTGAGTAGGAATAATGCCTGCGAAGCCAGGAATGTGAAAGAAATAGTTAACGCACTGATAGAGCGACTAAAGCGCTTGGACCAACCATAAAATAATTTTTCACTCTGTGGGCCATATGGTTCCAGACAGACCGGTCGCTCGTTTGAGTTTCCCAGAAGCTGGAGACCACATAAAGGAAAATGAAACCTGATTTTACAGAAACTACGGGTCTCAACTGTATAATCAAAACGACGAAATAAGCATAATTGGGCGGCTAAGTGTTAATATGGCCAGGTAACTGATTGCTTATTGTTATTACCTTGCTTCTTCCCCGATTACTTGAGATTTCCGCTCAATTTTGGCAGTCTTCTTTATGTGAAAATGTTGAACTTTCCATTCATCTCCAAAAGAAAAAGGTCAAGTTCTTTTCGTACAGCACCGTGCGCCGATAAACTGTGAATGGTATAAAATGCCGAATAAGTATATACGCTTCAGTTGAATAGCAACCTTGTCCCAGGACCCAGCTAAAAGCCGTCTTTTGTTTCTTAATTAATCTTTATAGTCTGCTACACAGCCGTTTTTAGTGTCGTCACGCAACGCTGCTCCCCACTAAGTGGGGAGGAGCATTGCGTGACGACACTAAAAACGGCTGTGTAGCAGACTATTTTATTTACGGTATTAAAAGTCCATAAATTAGTCAGTAAAACCAACAGACCTAAAAATGATATTTGTTTTCCTATTTGATATCTCATCCTTCGAATGCGCTTATCGACGGAGTGGAGATTCTATTTTCGCGGAAGAAAGTGCCCTAAAATGTGTCTAACAATACACTGGTCCATAATTATAAGGGACGGACCATTAGAAAACTTATTGGGGGGCGGGCGAAGTTGCACGCCAATTAATCCTAAAAAAAATTCATGGAAGGAATTTGGTAACGAAAAAAATTCCTGCGGCTCGAAAATTCCCCTCCCCCGCCGCATAACTTTTCTAATGGTCCGTCCCTAAAACGCCGTGACATTGACCTGGTATGGGAGTTGCTCGCTCCGAGTTATGGGCTCCTGGCAGAGTCTAATTTTGTCCCCGATTGTAGTTCCCTATTTTGCGTTTCATGACCCTCTACTTGACCAAACAAGCTTGGTCAATAATACATGACCAAGAGAACTTTTTCCTTGTGGCCACTCGGATACCTTAAACTTCCGCTTAATTATTGTAAGCGCCCCCTCCCAGTTATAGGCCCATCTACCTTTCACACAAAAAAAGATACACCCCGTTATAAGCCCTCCCTCTAGCTTGTATTGAAATGAATTCGATTTTTTTACGACGTTCTGAAGCTTAAAAAGCGAGTAAATTAAAAATATATATTTTGATCAGCACCGCTATGTAGCTCGTTTTAAAACGCTTCCGTTTTCTTAGCCTGCGAAAACATCCGTTTCTCCTCGCTCTTCGCCGCTGAGGACGTTTCCCCAGCGGCGAAGAGTGAGGGGAAACGGATGTGTTCGCAGGCTACCGTTTTCTATTCTGTTAAAAGTCCTCTAGGATACAAGATCACCCGTTTATAAGCCCTTCTAAAACCCCTTACGAAGTTGTATACGCCCAGGACTTATGAGAGCATCAGTACGCAAGCTGCGTAAAGGACTTCAGTTCACATTAGCGTTTTTGGCGCGCCAGGCTTTGAGCCTATAAAAGATTCTACAGGGGATTCTGCAAATCGTTTTTCAAGCAATTTATTAAAATAAAGCCATAGGTAAAGGTCACAAATCTGTTGTCAACATTGTGTTTTTGCTTTAGATGTCTTTAGGGACTTCATGGCCTAAACTAATGGTCGAGACGATGCGTGGGCTGGCTGAAACGCAGGCGAGGAACTAAACTATAACAGAGATAAAAGACAATCTTTAATACAAACCGTCATCTAACTGATTTACAGACAGAGAATAAAAACAATAATTACATTTGACAGGTACATAATAAAGTTCGTGTTCTTTGTTACAATTTCGGGGTTTTCAGAGCCCCGGTATTGTATCTTTACAGCACGAAAATGTCTCGTCATCATCTCCACAAACCGCCTCCAAACTGTCATCATCTGTCTCGCAGTTTTCTACCAGGGGAGGTGGATTAAGCACCACGAAACCTATGGGAATTAAAAAAATAATGCCTTAAACTTTGCTTCCAAACGTAAAAAAAGAAAAACTGTCTGTTACCAAAGTAGTGTTCTCAGGTAAGCCACAGTAATAGTGATACGTAATAGTAACTGAACCAATCACAAATCGCAACAAAATTGAGAGAAATTTATTATGGACTTTACTAATAGCCTTGGATAAACTGAAATGACAACTGAAATGAAACCTCTTTGCCAGTTATTTTGGAGGGTACTAAAAAGGACAAATTTTGCTTCCAAGAGAACACAAAATCAAAACTTTGTAGAGTACCATACAAAGTACTAAAGGAAAGCATTGTTTGGCAGCTTTCGTTTGCATCTAGCTGAGACTCAAAACTTGCAATCCCCTTTAACAGTAACAGTGCTACAGGTCTAAAAAGTACTGCTCAGTAACCTCATGATGCAAGTCAACTCAAACTTTAGTTTAATGCATGTTCCAACAGTCTTCACTGGTTAGTTTCACTTTGCTACAAGTTGTGATTGGTTCATTTCATTACGTGTACTTTAATTTCATGTGACTAACTGGAACTTCAATCTTCGAAAGAACACTGTTATTGCAGAGTGATGACAAGGCCATTTTCATGCATTTACAGTTTTAAATCCCCCGACTGCCTGCAAATCTGTTAGATTACATTCGTCACATGGCCTTCAGGGTATGACAAACTCTCAATATTTCATCCTCATCTGATACAACTTCTGTTGCAATTTCATCATCCCCATTTCCCTCATCCTCTTCACACATTATATCAGCCACAGAAGTAAACCAGATTTGATCTAAATTTGAGTTAAAAATAACTGCAATTAGCACACAATCATTTATGACTTCCTCTAATAGCCGTGGAAGTAGATGAATATGAATTCCAATAGTTGTCTTGAGGATGTGTTAGCTACAATAGTACGCACGCTCTGATTGGCTGTTTTCTTTTAATAAACGGGCATTATTTTCTTGTAATGACCTGGCATTACTAGCTAGGTGTCCAAGACATATACAATCTGTGTTTAACTTGATAGTGGACATTGTTATGGACATCCATGTTATGGTCAATTGACAGCTGTCAAAAAGGGTATCTGCTGACCAGTGTCACCTGACGCTATTGTGGGCTCAAGTGTGCACCTCACTGAGGTGATGTGTTTTTTTTTAAAGTTATCCACTGACCAGTAATTGGTTTTAATTGATCGCAGGCTCCGGGTCAATAATGAAAAGGCCATATAATAAATAACTTATTAACCTTGTCCATTTTGGTCATTACAGGGAAATCTCAGACCTTGGCCTTGATGTACTGACATATATCAAGGCCTCGGTCTGAGATTTCCCTGAAATGACCTCACTCTCCATATATAATGTCCAGAATATATTACATCATGTAATTTGTCTATGCAAACAGCACGTTAATGACAGTGTTTGAAATTATATATTATTGGCATCAGGGGATAAAGTTGAAAGAATCTCAGGGCATCACATTCACGTCTCAGATTTTGAAGTAATGAAGTTTAATAAAAGAGGACAAGACTCTAGTTCCTCTGGTAAGGTGAACAGCAAGCTGTTTGCAGCCCCAATGTCCCGTGGCCAGAAAACAAGCTCTCCATTTGGAAACCACATAAGTTGAAGATCCCACAAACTATCTGTGGATGATTGAGGTGGGGGACAGCACCTCTTTCTTTTGCACTTTCAATTACCATTTGCGGGTCCCCTTCACTTCTAACGATTCTCAATAGTATTAGAAAGCTTGCTCAAGCCATAATGTTCCGCCATAAAATAATACTTTACAGAATAAGGAACGGGGCTCTGAAAGCAGTTGACTGGACTTTGAGATCAAGAGCAAATAAACTCTGTCATGCAACATTAAAGGCACATTATTCAGTGATGAGTCATGTGAACAAAAAATAAAAATGCCTTTAAGCTTTGCCAGAAAATTATTCGACGTACACCTTTTCTAAAAGGTTGCTTATTAATATATTACAATTGTCATACACTAAAATGCCAATAATCTTGATAAAGAAAATCCGATCAGAGTAAAACTAGTTTGCAGGCCCATCACAAAGAGAGACTATCAAAATGCTTTCACAACAATGAAGTACCTTGTTATCATCAATGCTTAAGGGTAAACCTGCTTCAAAAACAAACTTCTCTGACTTTTATTGCTGAAGAAGGATTTCAGCTCATTTTTTGCAGATGGCAAATGTTTCGAATATGAGGAAGATGTAGATGTTGGCAGGGCTGTCAAGAACTTCCAGTATGTCTCTTTGAAATGTCATATGATGAACTCACACATGTAAAAAATGTATAAACTTACTGACAGCTGCTGACAGTCTGGTGTGTCTTCTGGCTAGATTTTTACACAGATTATCTCTGGCTATTGTGTTGAGTCTGTAACAAAGAAAAACAAACAAACAAATCCTCAGGGTTTCTTAAAGGACCACTAAGAAGGTGACCCCTAGCCAAATCCATAAAAATTACAGTAGACTCCCGATAACCTGAACCAAGGGAAATCCAAATGTTCGAGTTATCGGGAGGGCGAGTTATCAGGAGCTCCAAGCTAATAACCAGAAATAAGCAAATAAGCAAATGGATGGTGAGGGAATGCAAGTATCATGCACACTTCACTTCAAGGGCAGCAAGAGATAGAGATTGATATTTTGAAAAACGAAGTAAGCAACAAAGTTTGATTAATATACAGGGATGGACACTGAATTTAAAGTGGGAATGACCTCCCACTGAGCTCTGTTATTATCATGATAATCATTCTCAGCAGAGGCCTGATTCAGCTAGCTAGGGCAAAGTAAGAACAAGGTACTTACCAGTCAGAGCCTCTAGTGAACACTGCTGCTTACTGAAGGGGTTGTGTCAAACTAGCCCCCTCCCTACCCCACTAGTTTTTCCCCCCCAGGCCTGAGCCACCCACCCACTGTTAAGGCAGTCCCTGGGCTATCCAGCTGTACCCACCAAGATGGCACGCCCCCTACATTTTTGGACACCGGGCTGGCCTGGAGCCAGGCTGTGCCTGGTGCCAGGCGAAAACCTAGTGGCCACGTTTTAACGAAATCAGACAGATATACACCTCATGAAACCACCAGTTTATTATACTACTGACATAAAATACAAATATATCATTAGAACTTGTTGATAATTTCCCTTTTTTTACAACATGATAGACAATTATCATACGATTCCACTCCCTCTATGGAAAAAGTAGCCCCAGCTGATATTTTGATCTATACAGAAAATGAGAGAGGCGATCCAAGATACAAAGGAACTGCAATGGAAGCATACTTACAATCCACAGTCTCTAAGAATAGAACTTCCAACAGCAGAGGATATACTTCTCGCTAAAAAGTGAAAGAAATAACTTTAGATTATGTAATAATTTGCTTCAAATTGTTAGCTCCACAACGGTCCACAACGTAAACAGCACACCAACAATAAGCAACATACCTTTTGGTATACTGTTCGTAGACAAAGCAGCTTTCTGTAAAAAACATCTTAGCGTTAGGGAATTTGTATTAGAAATGCTAACATCATTGATCAAGCCAACTCACCGACATCTGAACCGAAGCTCTCGCAAATGTTCGAACACAACGTGCAGCAGCCGCCATCTTAATAAATTCCCATCAACCTTTTGGCGAGTAAGTAACCTCGTTTCCATGTTACTTCATGAACATACGAGTTTGTGTTCAGCGGTTATTTCAAAATGGCGGCTACAGCTGCACGTTGCATTCGTTCTCTGTCCCGTTCTTCAACTGTGGTGAGCTCTGAGATCATATCTTTTTTTATGTTTTCAGTTTTAAGATTTAGTTAAATCATATGATTACCTTTTGCAGCTGTCTTCAAGCATCACGAGGCATACTTCACAAAGTAAGTTTTCCTCCAGTGGAGTGATTGTATTTTGTGAACATTGTATGATGAGCCGACGTTATCGACGTTATATCCTTTAACCGGATTATAAATCAGGTTGTTTTAATCTAGTTGTTAGACCTTCTGTCAACGAAACTAAAGCTTCTTTTCCTCACTGAACTAAGTAGCCCTGCATTCTGTAGTATTCTGTGGTTGTCCCCAACCTATATCAACGGTAGTTGTGAGAGTTTACCTTTTCATCACTGATCAGTACATTGTGGTGTCTGATGACCTCCATTCTCCTTTTGTCTCCCAGTGTAATTCTAATGATATTGTCAACAAGTAAATTGTCACCAAATACTTCATGATTATTTTTGGTTAAGAGAGTCAATAGTAAGAAAAGCACACGTTAATTATGTAATACACAGCATCATTAGGGTGTAAAATGGCCTAATATTAACAGAAAAAAATGCACTTTATTTGAGTGTCAATTAGCCTGCGCGCAGACGAAATTAAACTCTGGTTAACTCCGTCTGCGAAACAGCGCCGAAATCCTTGTTCTGGACTTCCAGCTGTGTACCCAGATTTGAGTACGCGCCACGATTGGCCAGTTAAAAAAGGCCTTTGTTTTGTTTGTCGTGATCGCCAATCAGGTTGAAGGGGAATTCGAAACGCACTTCCGGTAATTCGTTGAGTCGGCTGGCGGTCCAGAACAAGGATCTCTGCGCTGCTTCGCAGATGGTACTAATCAGAGTTTAGTTATCGTCTGCACGCAGGCTAAGTGTCAATACACTTAGCACAAAAGTATTGACTAGGGACACTCTTTTTTGATCTCCAACTGGAAATAAGACTGCCATTTTACATGGTCATCCAAGCAACACGAAGGTCTAGCTACTTGTAATGCAAAGGGAGTACATTCATTTCTCATTTATTTTAACCCTTGGACGTACACGCAAATTCGTACCCCCACCATAGTATAATTCCCAGCAAGAAAAACCAATCTGTCCTAAACGCAACAATTAGTTCCCACAAAAAACAAAAAATCGCCAATCCGCAAAAAATAAACTCCTGCAAAAATTTTGTGCCACATGGTATGCTCTTTATTTTACTCAACAGGATCTATGTTAGCCTCTTCATCGCCACAGCTGAAATCATTTGTTAGTACTGAGAGTGGATTGTGAGTAGTGTTATTATTATAAAACTGCCTGTTAAATTATTTATTTAAATTTCTTTATTCTTACCAAGATTACCCTCATGGTCATCATTATGTCCTTGAAATCCTAGCATAAATAATCAATATGAGAACCAGTTATGATGCGTTTGGGAATGATTTTTTTCACTTGCAAAGCCTCAGTCTAATCCATTCCTAGTATACTTCATTTTTCAATTTAAAAAATCACAAACCAGTTGAGCTTTACAAGTGCATTGTTGTTACATAATGACTGTTTTATTTTCTTGTTTTGACTCCTTATACAATTTTTTAGATTAAAAGGATCAAGAAATGTTGCAATTTCATCGAGGTTAAATATCAGCAAAAGATTTGCACCATCTTTCTTTGTCTGTAAGTTTGTGCCTTTTATGTAACCTTTTAAGTCTCAAGAGTGACCAAAGTCAATTTTCTCCCAACAAAATCAATACATAATCAAAGGAAAATGTTGTGAGAATCAATAAAATAATCACTTGATGGGAAAAGCTTTGATCTGCTATCAAATTCTTTTAACCAATTCTTGCAGGAAATGTATGGAGATCAGTCTGGAGAGTTTGTATTTAAATACTGGGGCTTAAAGGGATAGTGTAATACCGTAAAATTCCAAAAATAAGCCCCTCCTTGTATAAGCCCCTCCAAATACATGTATGTGCCCCACAAATTCATAATGCAAAAACTCTCCGTTACATCGCCCCTCCAAATATAAGCCCCCTGGGGGGCTTGTACTTGGAAATTGCCCTCAAATACAAAGTAAAACAAAGCAAAAACAGTAAATTTCCTCCCTACTATAAGGTTAGCCCAATCAATTTTAAAACCCAAATTTTCCTCAGTAGATAAGCCCCTCCAAAAATAAGCCCCTTAAAGAGGGCCTTTGAAAAGTATAAGCCCCGGGGTTTATTTTCGGAATTTTATGTACTGTTTTGCAATAATTAATATTGCAAATATTGCTATAAAAGATTGCAAATGGGCTCCTTGGGCACTTTCACTCGCTGAATACCAGAGAAAAGAGGCCCTATCTGCTAGTAGGGAATGCACAGACCTGAATTTTGGCAATAATGTTTGCATATAAATTTATTATCTTCAATCAGATTTCAAGTTTTCTACTTTGTTGAATAGTTTTTGATTTTTATATTTCATGGTGTGACTATATGAAATTAGCAATACTTTGAACTAAGAATAAGGCTGTCAAGGTGTTACTGTTAGAACTAAGCACTATTGTTGTGTCACAAGCTTTTCCTTTAAACTATTGTTCTGTCTACAGGTAATGTAGCCCAGGCCTGTCCTCTATCGATTGACGTGGGCTGTGAAGTGAGTGATGCTTTAGATGGTAACCTTGGAGATGATGATGGTGATACTTGGTCTCAGAGTGATGATGAACCCTATCAAGGCGACACCTAACACAGACTCACTGAAGACAAAAAATTTTGGATAAATTGATTTTAATGCAGTCAACAAGACAACAGAGCATTGTTTTATTCTATAGACTTGCAACTTTTGTCAGTTATGTGAATATCAAGTGGTCACGGCTGTTTGTTAAGTTTTTCAAACCCAGAGTAGCTGATTCATAAAAAAGCAACTACTACTGCAGGGGTTAGGCGATGCTCTCAATGAAGGCTTAGTGCCTTGCTCTGAGTCAAGAGTTTTTTTTTTAGTACCTCACTCTTTGCTATCCTTCAAACACTTTCTCCAGACTTTTTATGTTAGAAAACAATTTTTATTACCACCAATACAAACTGTGTAAGTTTTGAAATACAATTATTTTGTTGATCCTCAGACCATGCCTTTTAGTGCGAAAAGATATTAGGGGATATTGAGCGGGTCAGTCACATGGTACAAAAACACCATGCTTGGAATGCAAGAAACAAATTGGAGCAAGTCAAAGAAAGCTTTATATATCATTCAAAATGTTATTTTCCATTGTTTGTTTTGTCCCAGAGCACTTCTTGCATAATTTCAGCCAGCGTTGCTCTTTTACACCACATGACTGATAATCCCTGGTTCTGGAGGGAGCACATAACATTTCATTTTTACCTTAACGTGTATTTCAGACCTAAACATTGTTAAGTCTATGCCCAGTTTGGATCAAAAGGGCAGAAAACGATACCCTTTGGTACCAACACACATGCGTGGCTAGGTAGCGTATTTTAGGGCTTACCCTCTTCCCACCTCTGCCTTGCTCTCCCAAGCCTTTTACCAGAGTCTCTTCATGGGTTAAGTTTTAGCATTGCAGACGATATTTCATCATCTGCCACGATCTACAACAAAGGCTTGCTAACTTTTAGCGTACTGTCAAGAAACCTCTAAGTAAAATCTGTGATAAACTGTTCCGCTTACACAGCGTACCCTCTAGGTGAGCCTCGTCATGGGGGTGGACGAGCAAAAACTGGGACTTAGTACATTTCAAAGATGGCGGGCGAAGACGATTGCTTCGATGAAGATCTTCTTTTCAAAGAATTTGAGGTAGAAAAGGCGAAAAAGACCGTCATAGGAGAAAGTGAGGGCTGCAATGAGAAAAGGTCATCGAAATCCTTAAAAGAAGAGAATGTACGCCTGAAGAAAGCTCTGAAAACTTTGGTCAGTATGTTGAAGGTCGCTCATGCTTCAACAACGGGAAGCGAAAGTTCAACGCCGGAAGCATGTTTACCTCTGTTTCAGGCAGTCTTTTTTGATAACAGGGCATCAATAAGAAACAGAGAGAAAGTCGAGGATTTTGTGCAATCGCTGCAGCAACGCAACTCCGAGAATGGCGACGAGAGAGAATCGTTTGGTAGCGAGAATTTTCCACCATCTATCTTTGAACTCAATTATGAACTGGAGAAGCTTACCAGCCAAGGTGATGGTTGCAATACCTCGATGGCTGTTATAAGCTCTCTTCAGTACTACGATCAATACTGCATAGACTGTTGTGGGCTTCCTCTGATTGACTGTAATCCTAACATTAGTGACGGATGGAATATTCCAAAATATGAACAGGTTTATTTCAGTGTTTTGCCCCAAGATGAAGAGACGCCCAGGGTAAAGATAAAACAAAGCAGAGCTTGTTTTAACTGTGGCAACTTTGGCCACAATGTTCAAGACTGTCCTGAACCCCGAGATTTTGCCAGAATTAGTGCAAATAAGAGAGAGTTTGTCAACAAATTTGTCTCCCCTATAACTGGTAACTTAAAATCCACAAAAAGTAGGTACCATGGTAAAGAATCAGTTGAAAAGCGCTTTGAAGAGTTTAAACCAGGAACAATAAGTGACAACCTCAAAGAAGCCCTTGGACTCGGTCAAGAAGACCTTCCTTTGTACATTTATAGAATGCGATATCGTGGTTATCCCCCGGGGTATTTACCAAAGGCAGCAAGACCAAGCTTACTTCTTTATGATGGGGATGGTAACATTGATGATTACGTGGTTGAAGAAGATGATGTTCACATTTCTCTTATTGAGTATCCTGGATTCAATGTTCCTCTTCCAGAAGGTGAAATATTTACCATTGTAGCATTTTTAGAAAGCTTGTTCAGCTTATTAAAGTCATTCAATTCAGGTATATCGGAGGATTTGACAATATTTTACAAGGAGAAAATTGAGTTTGAGGCTACCAGGCTCACACAAACCTTAGTTAAATTCAAAATAACTTTTTTACTCTTCCATCACCAGTGGACCCTTGTGAAGATAGAGCAAAAAGTTTTCTGAACACAGATGACCCCTTAAGCAGCTATATATTGGGGATTGAAATCCCCAATATTTGTGTAAGACAAACTCTTCTGGTCTCTGGATGTTTGCTTTTTTTGATAGGGAGAAAATCCCAAACTTTGATTTTAATTCTCATAACCTGTTTGTTTGATCATCTTTGGTTACTACTGGGAGAAACTTGACTATGATCACTATTGAGAGGGTTTAGCAACATCTGGTAGCACCTGACAACTTTACCTTTTCCCTTCAAAACTAGAAACATCAAAGTTTTTGCACAGAACATATATGCTGGCAACCCTTGTTTTTGCAGATTTAGAGAGTTCGGCTCTCTGCAATTTTTCTGACTGATAGCTCAGGCTTGCCACACACTTTTTTCTATTAGGTGTAAGAGACAACTCAGCTAAGATGGGATTTCCACCGATGCAGATGCATCAGCATATTGAAAACTTAGCAGCTATGTTCAGACACACAAGAGGACTTGCAAACAGGGGAACATTGAATCAAACCAAGAAAAGAAAAAGACCAGAGCTGGACCGAGAGGAAGAGGATATGGAAGTTGAGGAAGATGGTAAAAAGAATAATATTATTACCATAACCAATGTGTTTCATTTGAAATAGACAGTGTTGAACCCCCATATGAACCCCCATATGACCAAAGCACTGAAAAAGTAATAATAGCAAACAATAGTGAATAATGGAATGATTCATTATACGAGGGTTATTTCATATTGAGATCCTGTCCCATACATATTACTATAACTGGAAAGGAGAGTAGTTAAACCTGAGTTTTGTTTAGAGCCAGTAGGGTTTCATTCTAGTGGGGATTGATGTAACAACATCAGGGTTTTCATTTGATTTTGTCTTGAAGATTGTTTTTTCTCTGACTTTTTAATTTTCTGTAGAAGAAAACATTCTTGCTTTGTAGTGAGTTTAAAAGGTTAGGAATGTTATTTCATGATTTCGTTGTTTATCCTCTTACAGGTGGAAAGAATGCATCAGTAGAGCTTGGATCTGCAGGTGTTAAGAGAACAAAGTATGATTTGGGTGAAGACAGCACTCAGGAAGACAACACTGGCTACTCTCCCTCCCACCCTGGGGTTCAGTGTGGATCGGAAGAAGAGGAACTTCTGAAACGTTTCAGAAAGCACAGTGCAAGTGGCACCTCACATCACCCTCCCTCAGGAGGCAGTTTAACAAGCAAATCAAAGACAAAGAGGAAGAATAGCTTAGAAGAAGGTGAGGTGATCTCTGATGATGAAGGTGAGCAAGGTGATGGAGAAGAAGAAGATGATTTCCCTGAGACCAGTCTTGGCTGGTGGCTGAAGGAGCCATTAGAGGCTGTGTCCAGTACTCAGCCAAAGCTTTCACCTCCTCCTAAACCCTCGGTACAGCTTCCTCTAGAGGCACTATCAAGATTCTACACCAACAGCACAGTGCTGCAGAAGATGAGCTTTGAGGATAGAGTCATGTGGCTGGATCCCATATATGGTAACATTCAACCAGTGTCTGGGCGATATGACAAGCTGCGTCAACTACTAGGAAAAAGGAGTGTCACCAAGTAGAACTTATAAGTCACCAAATGTGGTGTCATGTTTATTATGCAACAGTTTCAACAACAATATTTCCTGCTACATGTCTCTTAGTGGCCTAACAGTGTTGCTGCTTGGCAGAAGTATGTGAAGGGGTATTGCCCCTTTTCTTGCATCATTCTCTTGATGGCTGTAACAGTGCCACAGAGCTTTGAATCATCTATTGGTTAGCCTTGCAAATTTTGTAACATAAGAAGTAGGGGAAACACTAAAATGAAGCCTTGCTGACAATTCACGTTGCACAAGGAAGTTTAAAGGAAATTTAGGCTTTTCTTAAATTGAAATTATTTTTAGCATGCATCCTAGTGTGTGACTATCTTATGTGTCACAAATTTCATTCTTATACCATTTCCATACTTTTTGTTGTATAGTCACAGACGGAAATTTTTACTGAAAGTTAATTCCTTCATTTGTAATTTATATATGGTAGGGTACATTTTTTATTTTGTGCCATTTCTCTTGACAATGTTCAGGCAATGAAAAGAAGGGACTTTTCTTATCTAAAACTAGATGTTTCTCATCATTTTTCTTGCAAAATGTTTTAACTAGGTAGACAATGGGCAGAAGGAAAAAAGTATGCTCCTCTTCCAGCATTAATTTTTCTTTATTCTTCGTTATTGTAGTTTCAGTGCCCGAAGGCTTTTAAAAACGCTTCAATAGTTGCTACTCATTCATGACATGTTTACAAGCTTAAAATTGGCGGCGATGGACCATAAACACTTTTTCTAGGGCTCGGTATGGACAGTCGTAGACTGTCTAGAGCTACCCTCTCCCCTTGAGAAAGGGATTTTCCTGATGGAGGGGGCGGCTGTACACAGGCTAGGATGGTCAAAGCCGATACAGTGCGATAGTGTAATTTCTTTGCGGTATGAAACACACGATCTGATAACTGTTCATTTCAATGAGCAAGTAAAGGATTTATGTGTTTATTTATGCATTTCTATGTTTTGGCCAACCGTCCACGCGTACCCGTGAAAACGGTCACCGAAAATGCATTTTCAAAAAGCTCTCCGGAGAAGAGACTTGAACATTCCGCCTTATCGTTTTCGTGTGAACAGACGAAAACGGAGGTTTTCGAATACGGTGATCTCATAAATCATACAGCACCGACTCGAATACGTTACGTGTGAACGAGCGTTTTTTTTTATTATTATTATTATTTTACTTTATTTTTATTTTTTTTAAAAACAGAGAAAAAATCTCCGTTTTTAAGAATATCCGGATACGTGTGGACGAGGCTTTAGATATTGGTGTTTCAAGTGATACATGCGGTTGTAAATAGAACCTGAATGGTTACTAATAGGAGTAATTGATTGCGGGGATTATTACATCATTTAACGTCTTCAGACTGATCTGAAAAACTAATCTGCCAATGGACCATTGATTTTTTCGAGTTTTTGTAAGGACCGGTAGGCGAACATCGCAAATGTACATTGTTGAAGAGCGGCTTATGATAGGTAAACTGTGAACTTTCCAAAATTTGCAAGTAATTTGTTTAAAGCCAGCGATGATATAGCCAAGCACAAACTTAATATCGCAAAATATTTACCTAACTGGTCGATGTCAAAAGTTGAAAATTCGTGGAAGGATCCATTGATTTCAGTAGCCGAGATCAGTAATTTCTCAAAAAGTTGCTCAAAAAAACAATCAAAAGTTGGTTTTTGCGACGAGAGTTGCTCAAAAGGTTCTCGAAAAAACGAAAACTTTTTGGTCTGATGCTAAAATATGCAAATTGTACAACAAAAGTAAGATTTATAAGTATTTTTGTGCAACTCTCCGGCGTAACCAGCGTTGCTAAATAACTTTGTCCTCAATTAAAACCGCAAAAAATGTAATGAGCCAATAAAATTGTTGAATGACCTTCACCCGAAACACTCAAGTCAGTCGGGTGTGAATCTTCCTCCACTTTCTGTAAAAACCGCTGACCGAGCAGCCCAGCTATTTTTTATCTTGCGTCCAACATTCTGCCCGGGGGGGGGATTTGGCTCCTTTTTTACAGGAAATTCATAAATTGTCTACTAAAGCATTGTGAAATATGGAGGAAAGGCCAATTTAAGCATTAAAAGCCGCTTCGAAATCTCTGATTTGGAAGATGACTAGGGAAATTGCTCAGAATGCAAAGAGTTGCTCGAAATACAAGAAGTTGCCAAAAAGTTGCTGAGCTACTTGAGGAAAGCCCTAGATTACAGTGCCCAGAAAGGTGTGCTCCTGGCGGCGAGGGCGGGGGTGGGGAGGAGAGAACTTTTTCTCCTACCCCCGTCCCCCGAAAGCTTGCACTTCGGCAAGAAAAACTGTTCAATGTTTTCTGTGTTTGCACTAGTTGCACGAAATCGCACAAATGAGCCTACTCGCAGACTACGCCGACAGCGCTATCGCTGTCGCCCCTGGATTTTTAGAAAAACCTAATTTTGCTTTTACAACTTCAAAACCAATTTCCGTTTTATTTTTATCACTAGCAGACAAGGTGGCTACCTGGGTTTTTAATAGCAGCCGCCTTCTGTCGGTCTATCTTGTGTTCCCTTTGTTCCCACGAAAGCACATATGAATGTTTTATTGATCTCAAACAAATCTTAGGAGCAATTTATAGGTTTATATTAACGATCAGAAAAGAATCAAAAAAGCCTCGAATTCCGAAGCAAATTGATTAAAAAAACATTTCATCCGGTTGAGAACGTCCACTTTAAATAAAAGTGTACGTTCACATTTGAATAATAAGCCAGAAGATTGTAATAAGGAAAACCCTTAATATCGACAACACCAAATATTTGCTGTTGGCTTTGCTACTGCTCATCCAATCAAAAGTCCTCGCTCCTGCTACGGTACGAACAATGCCTTAAAAGCTGTAAAATTTGTAGTGAAAGTTTAGATTTGCTGCCGTGTGGACGAGAGAACAAAAAATATCATCATATTTGGGCCTGGTTTAGACCTCGTATTTCGCTTGAACTTTTATACCTCACTATCACTCCTGAATTTGTTTCGCTTCATGTGAAGAACGATATACTGAATCGCGCCTTAAAACCGAGTTCGTCATATTTTTTTGCTTTTTTTTTTCTCCCTAATTTGCTCACTATAAATTAAAAACTCCGAGTAATGGTAGTAAATTACTTATTAGTCGTGTCAACTAAGTTTAAATCCTGCACAAAAAATATTTCCCACCCCAAACACCACCGCCACCAACGCAAGAAACCGAAATACTCGCGGCAACACTGAAAATGTACCTGTTTCAGTTCTTCGTTCGATAGAGTTAAGCATTAGCAGCATAAGAGGCTCAGGATAATTGCATCCTCTTCAGCTGTCAGCGATCGCTGCAGTTGTCAATTTGACGCGCAAAACTGAAAGTTACGACAACTTTGTTTGACAGGTATACAAGTGTATTGTCAAATATTTCAACTTTTCATCTGCGCTGTTTTTTCTTTTTTGGGGAAGTTCACGATAAGGTTGTTTTGTCAACTCGTCCCTTTTATTTTCTCGTTGGATTTATAAATCGAGTTTTAGTGAATGGCACACATTTTCCTGTCATTTGATCCTTAGTTAAATGCAAATTTTGAACAGAGACACGGGTGCAAAATTTTCGTTTTCTAAATTCAGGTTTCTGTTTCTAGAAGGTTATTCTGTTTCAATCTTGCGTTCGTAGTCTTATTAAAGGGGCTCCAACCAGCAAACATTTAAAACCAAATCTCATGAACAATGGAAAGATTCATTAGATTTAAATCCCTTCCCATTTATTGAAAACTCATCATTTGTCAAATTATTATTGTTTTTTTCCATTCTCGGCAAAAACACAACAGCTTTCTTTTGGGTGTAATTTTAATCGATCTCACTTTATTAGCTTGCACAACACTAGGGTATCGTTGATTTAAATAACTTTAATTTACAGAACCGACAGCGCCTAATTATTCTCTTTGACTGGGATTTAACGCGCTTTAAAATCTTTTAATCAATACAAACCGTCAAATATCTGGTGAAATTATTTTAACTATGCATTTCACTGAAAATTTTTCTTTCTTTATTGACAACAAAATTGTTTCATAATTTAAGGAAAAAAATGCAAATTTAGCGCCTGAAAGCGTTGATACAATCACATCTAAATTCTTAAAACTTCCGCGTAACATCTAGCCAGATGTCAATAGCCTTTCCCGCGCCAAATTTCGCAGCCAAGAATCAAAGTTTGATCTTTGGTTCTCGGTGAACCAGTTGCTGGCGTAACTAGTAGCCAAGAGCATATGGACGTCTTGTGAATATCCAGCGTAACCGCGGTAATAATCATAACATCGTTTAACCGCGTTAAAAATGCGATTTCGGTCGACATAGTAGGGCTTGTTCAGTAGATAGCGCATAACGAGGCTGGCGAGTTGGGCGATGCTTGCTGGGGAGTAGCCGTAGTTGTAATCGGGGTCCCAGTCAGGATCAAATTCGCTATTCTCGTCATACATTCTCATCTCCAACTGGAATTGTAATTCTCTGAGTTCTATTTTTACACGTCGCACATCCCCTTCCGATTCCATCAATGATCTTTTTGTTTTGTTTAAATCCAACTCCAGCACAGCGATCTGCCTTGTAAGCCCATCAATGGTCGGTTCCTCCTTTGTACCTTTCTTGTGTCTCGCAACCAAATCTTTGATTATTTCGCATTCGGAGTGGTGGTCTGGTAACTCATGTCGCTTGACGCTCTTTCCGCAGGCTCCGCACTCGATCAGGCCAAATTCACATACTTGTAAATGCGCTTTAAGCTTGTCTAGTTTTAAAACCATTTTACAACCGTTCTCCTCGTTGTCACAGTGAACGGTAAGTCCCTCTACCACTCCTCGGAGAGCCAAAACCGGAATCACATGGTGATCAGAAACGTCGGATCGACAAGAAGGACATGTCGTGGTGTTAGGTCGATTGAGCCAGATATGCAAGCATTCATCGCAAAATGAATGACCACAAGGTGTAATGACGGCATTTTCCAAGACCCCCGCGCAAATACTACAAATTAAATTCTGATCCACATGAGTGACAAACCGGTTAAGTCCATACCCCATCCTCGAAAGTCAACTCACTCCAAACTGTTTACCTTCGCTGGTAGAAGCCTACAAAACTGTGACCAATTTTTCTGGTTGTTGATGCTAGATAAAAACGGTTTGGTTGGTTTATTGCGTGTTCGTCAGCTGAGAAAATATTGTATTGTTAAAACAGTACACGTCACTTTTCATCAACGGACAAAGAGCGCGTGTAATTTGCATATCGTGGCACGAGCGCGCGCGTTCATTTAATTTTTCGCGGGAGAATCAACGAGTAAAAGAGAGAATAATACGACTGGAATACACGGAGAGAGCTATTCTTTAAATAGAACCTTTCTTTTTCTTGTGAAACTAGCGATTTTAGTGTTTGTTTTCATTCTGTTGTATTTAGCAGGTGATTAACATCTTTAGGTTTTGTTTCGATATTTTAGTCATTATAAAACCTGTTGTTTTGTATTTTCAAACCCCCTAAAGAAGTCCTTTTGTGAAAATGATATCAGACCACAATACACTCAAAGCTACAAAGCTGTTGGATATGAAGTCTGTAAATTCTAGATTTAGCAGGGGTTTTATGTCATAAATATTCTACCTGAAGACAAAAGATTAAGCGTTTCTCAACACAGACCATTTTCTTTGCTGATGATAATTTGTTGATTCGCCTTTTTCCTTAACCTGTTGAGCCGTTGTGTTTTAAAACAACCTGTATTTTCACTTTTAACGATCAATCCTTCGAATATGCCATAGTAACTCTACCGATAGAATAATAGACAATTTAAATTTGTTCCGAAATTTACGATCGATTTAAGATAAAAAGTTTAAAATGCAATCTTTTGTTCATCTTTTGTTCGTATTTTCTGAAATTTTGATTGACAAATGTGCCCGAAGGCATGACACTTGCTTGACTTGCTTGACTGGATTGAGTTCAATACTTGGCAGCTATCGACAGTTATCATTCGCAAACTGCTTCTAGGGTTAGCAAATGCGTTTTAACCGGCAACAAAGAGCGCTTTAATTAGGAGAATTTTAATTCAGACATTCAGTTACGCAAACGAATTTGGTAAATTTATCACAAAATATCTCTTACTAAAACCTATATTCATAAAATTTCACAAATTTCCTGAAAAATGAATTTTTCTAACATCTTTGTTACACGAGAACAAAAATAATACGGAAACATCGTCAAAAATGAAATCTTGGATATATAACAGCCTGTTTACTTTGTTGCAGAAAGGCGGAAAAGGGGCGAAATAGCAAACGTGGCCGACAAATGTCTCTATCTATATTTTTACATTTGAGGCAAAATAACCCTAAAAGTAAACTTTGATCAACTGCACGTTATCTTCCTTTGACAAGCGTAATAATTGAGATATAAAATTGTTGCTTACTAAGTCGTACGGATTAATTTTATTACTTCCTCGACAAGTGAATTGACTTAATTTACTTTGAAGTAAAATTTGCTGAATTTCATTACCGCGGCATCCCTCTTGTTATTTAACACTGAACACAAGGTCATCATAACTCGGGAAAGACAAACACGCCGCCAAATAAATCTTTGATAAATTAACATTTTGAAAAGTCAACAAGGCATTATCTTGGATTTTTTATTTTATTTTAAGCCATCTATGTTTTTAACAATACTGGATATGATGGTCACTCTCTTCATTCAAACCGTATAAACTTCCAGTCCGCACAAGATATACTGTAGACTTCTGAAAATGTTAGAGAACAATACTTTTCCGAGATACAAATGATCCGATCCCGGCCCAACCATCATTTATCAGTTACCTTGTTTTCCCACTAACCTACACTTGTGGTACCTTACAGCGGAGCTCCGCACGCGCGCTCGTGGGCCAGAGCCCCATAGCTAAGTAAATCTACCCATCCCAAAAAATTTGGTAATTTGTTGGCAATATTTTGTAAAGTAAACTTGTCGAAAGCAAAAAAATTCGGCCTGATTTTTTTTTCAAGAATTTGTTTTCCAGGCCTAAACTACTGTGATCAAGAGCCATTACGGCTCTTTAATGTGATCGAAGATGATTGCTATTTTTTGGGTGTACATATAAGATAAGGCTATGACTCCAAAATCACTTAGCCTTTCCCTCAAAAGTCACATGAATGTGCCCCTGAACAAATAAAAAAAAATACCCTAAAACAAGGAAAATTTTGAGAATTTTTGAAAGTGACATCTAAACCTAAGGTCTTGAAAAACTTGGAAACGTCATGGAAAAAGTCATGGAATTTGAAGAGCTTAAAAGAGTAAGAACCCTGACATGTCACGCAAAGGCAGCACTTTCTGGTCAGTTATTTTAAGACCCTGAGTGTTGGTCCGGACTTGGTTTGAACCCGCCACCTCCCGCTCACTAGACCGGCGCTCTCTGAACTGAGCTAACCAGGCAGCGGTACAATCTTTCTTTTTATGCGAAATAGGCTAAAGTTATTCCAATATATCGATAATGCTTTCACATATTTTGCTCAAACTCTATATATTACAATATCAGTTATATCGCCACGGGATTGCATGTATATTCCAGCTAAAAAAAAAAAAAGGATGATGCAAATAATGATCATGATAGACCAATACATGTATCACTTTAATCTAATTTTAACAAAATTTTTTAAAAGTTATATTTTCTAGGATGACCTGCTCTATCGAAGAATTTGGATAGCACTGTATGGCTTAAATTGTAAATCTGGCATTGTGCAATAAAAACTAATCAGATTGTTAAACGCTGGTTCTCTCGTGGTATTTTAATTGATTTAAAGAAAGCGTTAGACCCAACCTTGTTCAGTCTCAGGTTTCACTCTCTTGCTTCTTGCCTCGAAACCTAAGAACGAGGTTGCATTGGACCCTGTTGCTGAAGACAGTATTCACCTAGCAGTAATCAAGGATTCGTAATTGCGTACGAATGCATGTTTACCTGGAATTGCGATTACAGAAGGTAGGCCTATTTATATTTATAAAATTTTGCTTTGCTATATGGAAGGCTGCTAGCCCGCTTTTCGAGATCCCGATCGGCTCGAGGGGGTTTTTAACTCCAAAGATAAAATTCTTATTCAGCCAGTTAGTTTGGAATTGACATGACCTGAATTTTTGGCATAACTACAGAAAACGGGGCCAATTTTCTAGGTATATATTCGTTCGTGTGTCTCGGCGGCTCGGCAGTCACTGACGAGCCACCGGCTGCACCTTTATCGTTCTTTAAAACTCTAACCTCGGCTGAGCAACCGAACCGCCGAGCCACTAAAACATATACTTTTCTTGTTCTTTAAAACTCTAACCTCGATTGACGAGCCCCCGAGCCACTAAAATATATAGTTTCACTTGCTCTTTAGAAATTTTACTTTTATGTCTCTTTTATGTTTGTCTTACACCAGAAACTCATAAGGGGTTGTTCAACCCCTTATGAGTTTCTGCTTACACTTATATGTCTTATATCTTTCTCGTTCTATAAAGACTCATCTGTCTCATCTTGACTAGCGAGCCACCGAGCCACTTCTGTTCGAGACCGTCATTGGCCCTGCATGTATTCAGAAGTTGCTAATGATATATACATTTTTTTCTGGAATTGTTTAGTGTGAAGGACCTCCATGGGTTAATTTGGTGCTCAGCCTTTGATATGGAAATCATTTTTCATTCTCATGCAAATAAAACTCATTTTCACAAGAAAGGTTGTGCACCTAGTATAGCCTCATTTTGAAAGTGAGGGTTTTTGGAACTCGGAAGTGGCCTATTGGTTACCAATATGACGTATGTGAAGCTGCTACTTTCCATTTTTAACGTGATCTGGGCATTTGCATATAACAGATAGGTTAAATTACATTAAAATTGAACCAACGTTTAATTAGAAAATTACTTGTTTAATTTATTAATTTCACGCCACAGAGTACAATGTTTGTAGTAGTCTGAAAATTTTTGCTTTTTATTTCATCAGGTATTATGGCTAGTTTGAATAACAGTATTGGGCTGACTCATGAAAACTTCTTGATTAATTCAAGCTAATGCATACTTAAAAAAATTCGAACAACTTGTAAAGCGATCAATCAAAGATACAAATCAAAATTCTCCGCCTTTTCTTCAAAAAGCTTCAAAAGCGCCAAAATAAAATTGGTATAAGCTCCTCATTTGCGATTTTGTCGCATTCATTTCTAATAGAGGCAGCCTGGGTATTCACTAAAGCCGGAGCAACTGAAGCTCACGAATGGCAAAAGACATGCCGTGCTCCACCAATCATGTCGGCAGCAAAGATCGTGTTCATAACATCCTCTATTCCAGCAGCAATCACCACACACAATCCTCCAACACCAGCATCCCAAACCGCACATTCCTAAGCATTTATTGTGACGGTTATACTTCAAGCTTTGGCATCGCCTCTGCCGACTGGGGTCTTCATCAAGGTCATGCAAAGCTCTTAATTCGGAGGGGATCTGTATATTAGCAGTTTTCAAAAGGTTGAAACACAGAGCATGAAATGGCTTTAGAATCTCCACTTGAGTAGAGTTGGTCGTCAGTCCATGGGACACCAGTTCCAGAAGCTGAATTTCGGGGACGTAATGTAGCTCGCTCACGGCCTCTTGATAATGGATTTTCACAGCTTCACGCTCCGTAGGTGACCCCTCAGTTATTTGCTTTAGATACTCTCGGAGATCTTGAGGCATTCTGGGAATGTAGTCTGGAACGTAGGTCATGTTCCGACCATGCCTGGCAAGGAAAAGCACAATTGTTTTGTGTAAGATCTACACATTTAGAAAAATTGACTTCGATTATGTTGAATTTCCATTGTTAATAGGGAACTTAAAAAGCGAGGACGGCGACGGCAGGGAAAGCGTAGTACTGTAGGAAATTCGCGATTTTTCAGTCCTCATCGCGACTAGTTAAACTCGTTTACTTTGTCAAATGTATGGGAACTCTCCTATGGAGTTGAATTAGCAACAGCCTTATCCGAGTTAAGAAAGACAACATTTCGTCGCTGCTTGTTTACGTCCTCTATAAAACACGACATTAGGCATTTTCAAGTCATAGTCGTGCATTGGCGGCAAAGAAATGTATACTAAAGTGTGATGCACTTACAAAGTTGTTGTTTTGCCTATTAAGGCCATTGCTTTTTGACGTTTCCGTTGCCGTCGCCGTCGTCGGATCTTAAGGTCCTTAATATCTTGTTTCAATATTGTAGCCTACTACTATGGACTTCTGGGTACCCTGGGTTCAAGAGGCTTTTTTTTTCTTGTCTAATTCCTGATAGTTCGGGGCGAAGCGTCTCGGCAGCTTTTCAAACAGTGAGCACGGTTATTTCATCTAAGGTATTTCGAGAACGGACCTCTGGAGCCAGGGTACGCAATGGGCTCCTAAGCTGACACTATAAGCTATAGTGCTGTTATGATCGCACAACTGAATGGTGAAATCAATAAAGTTTTAAGTTTCCAGTGGCAGCCCTTTTGCAGTAAATTAAAAGCAAACCACTATTGATCTCCACTATAACCACACCTTGGTAAGTCCCCCGGAATCTTTTGAAAGGAGCAAGCTGTGATCAGAACGTTCAACCGATTTTCCCACTTGAGACGACGAAATTTTAAATAAATTGGGCAAATTAAAATTCAAAACTAAAAAAGCTTTTGTTTTTGCTTAAAGAGATTAAAAAGATTCTTTAAATCAGTACCCAAAAGAAAACTATGCTTCGGCTGGGCCTTGATATGAATCGGACATACAGTACCCTAAAAACCTTGTAAGCTAGCTGAAAAAAGCGACCAAAAACTTGGAGTCCCCATAACCTTTGCCACTGATCTTATTCGAAGAGTTTAGATACTTTTCGCCAAGACGTTTCTGAGAAATCTCGCAGGAAGGAAAAATTCCTCGCCGTAGAAAAATTTCAGATCTCACAAAGAGGAAACAAAACATAATCTACCATAATTTTCCATCATCCTTATTCTTTAGATCAAAGGAATGATTTCAAAAGTTGAAAACCTCCGCGGAACTACACGAGCTACTGGTGAGTTGAGTTTTACTGCAAAATGTATAGTTTGTGCAGTGGCAAATCGAATTAAATTTAAGTTTAAAAAAACTCACCCGATAAATCCTTGGTCCAAAATCTGGTAGTAGAGCATGTCATGGCCAAGTTTCGTGTAAAACACAACCTGCTCTCCGTTTGTCTTGGTAATCTTCATTGAGTCTTTTTCCAGCTCAAAGCAAACGCCGAGTGTCTGATTATGGATGTAGCAGCCTTTGACCTGATCCTCGGAGTAACTATCCAAACGTAGTCCTGTTGGCATGGAAGCAGAGACCGCGAACATTGAACACAGAACGGCGACAACGGAAAGCAAGGAAATTGATGCTACCGACATGGTTACAGCACTGTTCAAATTGCAGCTAAGAAATTCAGCCAATGTTTCTGTTGTTGTCAGTGAATTGTAGCACTCGGGTGAGTTCTTTTTATAACCAGTTCAAGAGTTGGTTGTACGTGCTGTGACCCCCTTCCGTATAAGGCGAAAACGTGTTGTTTATTCTCCAAAGGTGCTCAGTTTTTTCTCCCTTCAGCGACCACTACATAACTTACTGCTAATTCAGATGGTCAGGTTACTTCGTCTCCTTCGTACTCGTGATAAAGACAATTCTTAATTGCAAAAAAAAATTTGATTACTGACAGTTTGTCAAACTATTCGCTTTCATAAAACATCCGACTACAGACTTGTAGTCACGTTACTTTCTTGTTATGAAACTGAAAAAGTGACAATTCGACATAGCAAATAGAACTTTTCGGATAGTAAGCTGAGCAGGTAGTTTTGGCCATCATACACTGGTTACTTATCGTAAACTTAAACAATTCAACACTGCGGTTAATGTTGAGGCAATCATGATCATCATTTTTTTTACTCGTCAATCATTTCATTTTGAAAAAATCACGAGCTGTTAGTATTAACAGGAAGATCGTAAGGCTTCTGCGCATGCTTGCAGGATACTTGCTGACACAGTAAAAAGCCGCGAGTAAGAAGCAGCATTTTCCCTAGTCTGTCTAAACAGGTAAAAAACGAAAATATCACAAATTTGGGCTATTTGGGTTTTTAAGTAGGTCGATTGTTTAAAACATGTATATGGCCTTCGCTGAAAGTAATTTGCTCGAGGATAGCGATAGGACTTACAGGCTTGCATAGAGCCTTGAAAGCCAACGTGTAGCACAGTTTAACGGCTCTGTTTAATGCTACAGTTTTTGTCCATTTGAAACAAATAACAAGTATTATCTTGTCCGAGAGAGACTGAATTCTAAAGAATAAAGTAAGCACCTCGGCGGCTTAAAAAAAGCATTTACAGACTTTAAGCTACTTTACGGTATATATTTTACAAAGTCGACTATATTCAATTTCCCTTTTAAGCGATCTACCCTTGAAGCAAATTTCTTCAAATTTATCGCTCCGGCTTTTATGCAGTTTTCGTTTCTAGAAAGGAATTAAATAATAACACAATTGTTCGATTTTTTTCTAGCTTTGTCTGTTCCGCTAACTATCCGATAATTTCTAATTGCTATGCCGAATAATTGACGAATGGCTTTTATCAAAACAAAAACGTAACCTGACTACATGTCTGTATTTATACATTTATTACATAGAGTATAAACAAGTTTCTGGACATTTTTCCCTACAGCACGCACTCTCATTGGTCAATACTTCGAGGTCACATGACCTCTCACAATGAAACTGTTTCCCGCAAAAATCTCTGAAGCAAAATCTATGACGTCAGAGGGTAACAGTGCACTGTTGACCGACGGCCGCCGTTACAGCAAGCTAAGGTTTAGTGAATATTTCCAGCTTCAAAATTTCTAGCCTCCCCGCAGACGTCCTTTGGGGTTCGTTTGTCACGCATTCATTTCTGAATGCGTGACAAACGAACCCCAAACGACGTCTGTGGGGAGGCTACAAAATTTCCAGCTATATAACAAATCACTTAAAGTGTGGTTCCTCGGGCCGGAAGACAACCAGTCACTCATTAAGTGTTCAGTGTTTCATGAAAGCCAATATTTTGACAGACTGTCAGTGTTCAAGTGTTTATCCGCAATTTACAATTGTTTTTATCACGAGAACGAAGAAGACGAACTAACCTGACCATCCGGAATTAGCAGTAAGTTATGTACTGGTTGCTGAAGGGGAAGAAAACTTAGCGACTTTACAGTGTACGTAAACAATACGTTTTCGCCTTATACGGAAGAGGATCATAGCACGCACAGCCAACGTGAACTGGTTATGAAAAGAACTGACCCGAGTGCCACAATTCACTGACAGCAACAGAAACATTGGTCGAATTTCTTAGTTTCAATTTGAACAGTGCTATAACTATGTCGGTAGAATCAATTTTCTTGCATTATGGTATGTTATGGTATTTTCTGTAGTAGTCAATAGGCCTTTTGCATTAGTTGATCACGTTATCAACTTTTGGTAAACACGAAAACTTTTCTTGTATGAAAACTTTTGTTAGCACGAGCTGAAAGAGCATATTAAAATAAGGTAACCCGTACATTTTCAGCCGTATATCTCAAAAATAGCGATTGCAACGGTCGCCGAAAATTAAAAGGATTTGTATGAGAAAAACAACTTTTGCCACCCAGTCGAGTGGGCCATGCTTGAGTGGTTTTCCATACGACTCCTTGTAAATTCTGAAATCATAAGTGTCTAATATTGTTTTTCAATCTAAGCATAATACCAAGCGAAATAAAAAGCAATTTTTTCCAGGCTATTAAGCACTGTACTCTTTGGCGTGAAATTAATAAACGAGAATGTAACCTATTTGTTAAACGCATACGCCCATTTATTTTTTAATTATTTTCAGTTTGATTAATGGTAGCCTGCGAAGCAAGCGTTTCCGTGCGGTTTCGAAGCCAAAACAAAGAAGGGAACGAGAGTCAAAGACCGCGCGAAAATGGGGCGATCAAGACCTCCCCCATCTTTCATTTAATGGCTCTTGTTCCAATTTTTGCACGGCTAAAACCGAAAATAGCGTTCCTCGTCGTCCCTCGGTCTTTGTTTGCCCCGGAACCACAAGGAAACGCTTGCTACGCAGGCTAGATTAATGGGAGGTAATCCGCGAGAACCCATAGTCCCGTTTGTTCAGTCTATCGTTGTTAAAGACTAAACAATGCCACTGAGAAAATTCAATGCACGACCAAACTGACTGGCTGAGTTAGAATAAATGCTATTCATACAGGGGTGGAGGGCTTTTGAGGCCCTCCAAAAGTTGAGTTACTTTAAAACCGTTCTAGCTATGACGACTAAACTTAGCGACTTTTAAGAACATTAATTTATCTGGGAACAGTTTAAAGACATGTCGAAGTGAAATCAACATTCTTGGACTGAAAACTTGTCATACTTTTCTATAGAAAAATGTTTTATTTCTAGACTGTCTAGAGAGGCCATTTGAATCCAGTCTCGGTTTCCGGCACTTAATTATTATTTTATCAAATGTATAGTATGCCAGACCAAGTAATTAGCCCAGACGTAGTTAATCGATAAAAATCGATATCGGAAATCAATCGATTTCATCTATATTAATCGACTTAATCCGCCTACTAAAATTGATTGATATCGGAAATCGATAGAAATTGAAGTCACAGAAAAAATAATTTATCGATTATTATCGATTTAAAAAATCGAAAGTAGTCGATAACAATCAATAAAAAATCATCTTCGATTTCTATGGGAAAATCATCGATATTAATCGAAGTCACAACTTTTTTCTTTATCGATTTTTATCGCTCGATATCGGAAATCGATATTCATCGATGATTGATATCGGTTACTCAACCTCGTTCCCAGGGTCTTTTCCTACAGGAGAAAGGAGAGCCTCGCCGGCTAGCCGTTTCAGTAAACTGCGAATTCTAAGTCCTTCAAAATCGCTCGAAAAACCGCTTTTGAGGCAAAAGGACGACGATATACCACAAGTAAGGTAATTCAACGTTTATTTATCATTGATTTAAATACATACTTAGCAACATATCGTTATAGGTCAAGCAAACGATAAATCCAGTTCACTTACTATAAATAACAATGTGGGGGCCCTGTTGCTGTATTAGGTAAATTACTTTCTGTTCATTTTCTACATTTCCACCTTCAAGTGTAATAATTCCAGTAGCTTTTCTCTCTTGTTTCCTTGTTTTCTTCCTTCTTCATGAAGGACCAATGCAAATAGTTTCTTTTCAATTAAAGCAAATTGTTCCGAGGGGTCTTGACAAACTGCGAGCCAGTGAACCATGCAAGTCACAAAAGCCACCAGTAAAAATAGAGTAAAAACTCCATATTTACAGACTAGGAGTTGAGCACTCATTATGCTGATTAGGGTTAAGCTCTCATTGTATTGATTAGGGTCAAGCTTTCAATTTACGGATTAGTGTTAAGCACTAGTTTTTAGGGCTAGGGTTAAGCGCCGCTTAGGGTTAAACACTTATTTAGAACGGTTAGCTTCCAGTTAATGTACTGTTTTTGATTTTTTTTTTGTATGTTTTTTAATGAGTCTTCATTGGACTGCACGGCCTGCTGGCTCGCATTTTATACACACTCTGTTCCGTGTGTGTATTTATCTCATTGCGTGGTGATTGAATTACAACAGATTCGTTCAGAGTACTGCACGCACTTGACAGTTTGAACGTTAAACATGAATTACGATCGAAAGAGTAAAGCAATTCTGTATCATGTAGACATTTCCAGACGATATTTCTTTATTTGCCGGTTTAAAATCGTGATTTACTTTTTGCCTGAATTAAAGCAAAGGAGTAGTGACGTCACTGGACGGCATTAACGGCCGGTCGATTTAGACGTTACTGAGGGAGGAGTGTAGCTAAATGTCGTGGGTCGTGGGTAGTGGGTAGAGGTCGTGGGTCGTGGGTGTGGTTCGTGGGTGTGGGTGTGCGTAAATGTCGTGGGTAAAAAAAAGTTTTCCAAAAAAAAAAATCAAATTAAAAAATCAAAAGGCAAAAAGTTGTAAAATTCATGAAACGAAAATCTCCGTGTACATGCCAGTCCTACTCCCCTTCCCGCGGTCAGCAAAGCAAGTAAGCAAATCATTTAGTACAAACAGACACTAAAATAAGAAACTCTGTACACTATGTAAACCTATAGCAGGTTACAGAAAACTGGAGACTGAACTGCTTTTTCTGAAAAAAGTCAACATTGGTGACTGAAACGTCCTTTCAGTTAAAGGAATGATATTTAGAATCATTACAGCAAAGATTTTGTACGCAAAACAAAAAAAAAATCGAGAAAATTATATTTACCTAAGGCAATAAAATTTACATACTGCCCGCGCCTTAACTTGAAAGGTTGAGCATGAAGGTGCTTCCTTCGTAAGTTATTAGCTAGCCTAAAACTTCTTTAAGAAAGACTTCTATGCAAACATATGAAATACCTCAAAATTGTCCTTTTTCCCTGCCCTTTCCCACGGTGATCGCATTCCATCGTGTTAAGAAATCTTCGCTGATCATTGGAATTGTAGATCGAATAAAGATTAATAGTGAGCAGCCACTTCCATTCAGCTAGTCACAGCTGTTTATCCCATACTTTCTGCAAATTGTACGTATAACTTACGTCTGTTTCGTTTATTTTGCGGCGATAGCTCAGGTGTGTATAAATTTCCATCGGCAACATGTATGGCAGTGATGGTGTGAAAGAGGAGCCAAGTCCCACGTGTCTAAGGAAATATCCGGAAGAGGACGAAGAAGAAGCCGTGGCGTAAAGGGCAATCAAGGAGTTGGAGATTTTCGTTCTATAAATATTTCACAATTTTTTTCTATTTATTATTATTATTATTATTATTATTATTATTATCTTTTTATCATTTTTTCCTTACTTTTTTTACCCACGACATTTACCCACACCCACACTCACGACCCACACCCACGACCCACGACCTCTACCCACTACCCCCTACCCACGACATTTAGCTACACTCCTGAGGGAGTAACGACTAGAAGTAATCCTCTGAAATTCAGGCTAAGCGCGCGCAACAGAAACTAAAACAGCGCGCGCGTGGCGCTCATTTGACTCAAATGGTTGATGGACTGTTCAACAGAACAGCTACGATTAGAGTAAGAAATTCGATCGAGAGGTACCTGGTTATTTTAGTGAAAAATACTACATTAATCACTGCGTGGTAGTCGTTTAAACGTTCAGACAAAAGAAGGAATTCGAGCGCAAGAGAACGCCGTCCAGCGGAGCGCCGCCAATTTCCTCCGTTTTCCAATTTCTCTTCTCAATTTCAACAGTTTTATTTCGAACGACTGCCAAGCATGCTATGCAAATTGCGCGTGGTCAAATTTGACTCAGAGGCTGAAGAGCTTGACAGTACACCGGTACGCATAACTTGTAACTACGATGGGATGAATTTCACAATAATTCCTACGTCTTGTCAATTCCTTCGTCGTCTTGTCGTCACGCAACGTTCCTCCCCACTAGATGTGTAGGAACGTTGCGTGACGACACTAAAAACGGCTGTGTAGCAGACTATACGTCTCTAAACTTAATTAGCTATCAATAGGTTAGTGCAATACTATGATAATTATGATAATTTGGTATTAATTGATTCAACAGACATTACGTCACAAAAGTCAGCTCCGCTCGCTGATCAGCGACTGATTGAAATCCCCATGGATCATGGACAGAAGTAGATCGCTGGCCATTTGTACCAACCTTGTGGCCAAAGTACGAAAAAGTGTCTCCATCCAAGCCATTAATGACCTCCTAGATCAGCGAAACATTTTTACGGACCTGCTAAATAAGCTAGAGGCCGCCACTAATGTTCGAAGAAACACTCTCTTTGTCTGTGGCCTCTGCTTCATACTGTTCTACCTCGCGGTTGGCTATGCTGCAAACCTTCTGTGTTACTTCCTTGGCTTCGTGTTTCCGACGTATGCGTCGGTGAAAGCTATCGAATCTGGAAATGTCAACGATGACACGAAATGGCTAACCTATTGGGTCGTTTTTAGCACAGTCAATTTCATGGAAATTTTTCTGGAGTGGATTCCGCTGTATTATTTACTGAAGTTTTTCTTGCTTGTTTGGTGCATGTTCCCCGGTCCCTGGAGTGGCACCACCGTCATATACAACGTTGTTATTTGTCCCTTCGTTATGAGGCACAGAGACAAGTTCGACACCGCTATCTCGGAGGTCGCCAAGCACGTCCGAAAAGCTGCCGAGAAAGCGGCGGAAGATTACGAACCCATCGCCAGCGTGGATCTGTTCGCCGAGGTGACCAAGATCGGAGGAGGTGTGTTAGCTATTACAGAGATGGAGAACAACAATGACGATGTTGACTCGAGCAAAAAGGACGACTGAAGTATGCAAGCAAATCACGAACCCTAAAAGAACCACCTTACCCATAAAACTAGCATGATAAGCACTCGTTTTTTTTACAGCTGACTGATAACGTCGTTACGGAATTTGAAACTTACAGCTCCTCTCACAAAAGTTGTTGAAAGCCTCTCACTGTCAAGTCAACTAAATAAATCAAACTAAACCCTTAAAAAAACCTTATTTGCCACTATCTACTTGACACTGGCGAACTCTGTAAATAGTACTCGATAAAGAGCTGTCAAAATCTATTTCATGAAAAATACAGTGGAATCCAGATTTTTCAAGTCTCCTGCTGAAAAAATTTTGGTTTGAATTGTACGAAGGTTCGACAAAAGGGACCGGGGAGGGTGAAATCTACGTTTGACTGGAGGAAGTTAATATATTGCAGTTTGAATTATCCGGAGTTCGAGAAACAGAGGGTTCGTGAAATCAGTTTGATTCTGCTGCATTTTTTTGGTCGGACGACGGTTACAACGATGAAGAGTGTGTTTGGCCGTTCTTGCTATAATTTGTAACACTGCAGAGTTGTAGCATGCACTTTATTCTTAATTGAAGTTCCGGGTAACTCAATTAAGCAAATTCGTTCGTCGCCGGGGGCATAGTTAGGAATTGCCCAGAGGTATGGACAGTTTTCCATATCAACGTTATACCCTGCTCCCAAATCGTCTTTACGCGGATGACTTGACTAAGGTTTCCGTTTTTTATTAGTATGGTGAGGTAATCATCTCTCTTGTTCTTTATATAGACCATGTTCCTCAGGAAGAAGTTACGGATTTCGCGTGCGTAGCCTGTGTAGCAACCGTTTTTGTGTTGAGAAAGTCGAACAAACTTGAGCGGAAGCGCTTGCTACTCAGGCTATATCGTTGTGTTGAACACCTCGATCATTTTGTTTTGCATTTTGCTTTTTATTTATCTTGGACACTTTTTTTCGGGTACGCAAGTGCTGTTGTGTAGTACAAAATTTACACGGTTTGACTTTAAAGGCCAGAGAAGTGCTTGTCACCGAGATTTAGTCCTGCAGTCGAGCCTCCATGTGCGACCATCTCTCGTCAGCGACCAATAATTCTTCGCATTTTGGGTGGTCTCTTACGAAAGATTCGACTGTATCTAGAAAATATATTTCAACAGAATGAGGTGCTTGTATCAGAGAAACTCTCCTGATCAATAGTGTCTGGGTATGAATATCTATGACTGAGAAAGGATAGGAGGGAGGACGCTACGGTATTTATTTTCGGAGAGTATTGGTTTGCTTGTATTTTGTCTCAAATAGACGCAACACTGCAAGAATTTCGAATGCACTTGCCATGAATAGTACAACTGATTACCAGAAAGCAACCAGACTGGACTGGAAATTGAACCAGTTCCCCGCGTAGAATGAGTGCAATACAGCGCTGTTTTTGTTTTGTTTTTTTTTTTTCAGTGTGAGTGTGAGCATTAGCCAACCCTCTTCTCAGTCACTTCACTGTATTTCTGTTTAGTGTCACTGTCCTACCCCTCCCTATTGCCCCAGCCCCGAGTTGGAGATATTTTTATTCGGCCAGTAACAAAAACGCCACAATATCCCGTGGATATTTGTTCCCCTTTGACTTATTTGAAACAGGGCTAAGGGTCCATTCCTCGAAAGTCCTGGTAACTTTTCGGGCCTGAAATCAAATGTTCCAATGAAAATCTAGAGAATAAATAGAGAATATTACACGGTGGCGAGAAGATATGAATTTTATGTTCGAGTGGCAAGAACAATATCTCATGAGTGAGCGCAGTCATACTGATGACGGCGTTTTTAATGATTTTCCGAAGATTTCCGAAGATTTTCAAATTGTCCCGAAAACCAGACGAACGTTCCCGAACATTTTCTGAGAATTTCCGAAAATTTCCGAAGATTTCCGAAGATTGCCGAGCACTTTCGAGGAAGACCCGAAGATGTTTCGATGATACACCAAAGAATTTAAGTACAATTTAAGAGACAAACCTTATGTCAGTGAAATTATCGATATCTTCACATGTAAAAATATCGTATTTTTACGTGTGTTCAGATACCACATTTCTCGCTGGTAGAAATCCTTGTAAAACACTGCAGTTTATATAATAAAAGGGTGGATCCTGCAATTGTCAGGGGCGTAGCCAGCCAATTTGTCCTTTTAAGCCCGACTTGTAGCTCTATTAACAGGGTCTGGAAGGGTATTTTCGGGATTCGGGATTTGACCAAAATACGGTGCGGGAATCGGGAAAACGATAAATATATTGACGGGATCCGGGATTTGACTGTTCCCCGGGAAGCGGGACTCGCCAAAAATTGGGCACGGGATGCGGGATTTATGTTTGAGTGTCTGTCGGGAATGCCGGAAACCTTTAAAAACACGCGTAAATTCAAAATATCAATCGAAAGGATCAACCTACATCTTACATTTATTAGCTTTTGTAGAAATTAGACTTTTTGATGTATTTTTCTGAGGAAGAAAAGCGGTATTTGGGAAACTGATGAAAAACGTGGGGGATGCGGGATTCTCGCGAAAAAGGGGCGGGAATGCGGGATCAGTACCCCCGCTTCCAGACCCTGTGTTAACACTCATGTACATCTCTCAAGGTCAGTAGTAGAGATGTGAGCACTAGCCGCTACAGATGAAGGGATCAGTCGTTTTCTCGGTATCGTACATCGTACGTATATTTCACCCTTCTCATAGTGTAAAATTATGTCTCTGACGGAATCGCAGTGGTCACTGACATGGCAAGGAGAAAATGAGCACAGTACGGTTGGCGTCTTTCTCAGTTGTGAGGTCCTCAGCTGTTTCGCTCAGTGTACCTGGCTTCTAAGCTGCCAAAAGGCGAAGCAGCCCGTTTCAGTTTAAACTGATTGTCAAATACGACTCTACTACTGACTCTGAAAATAGTTATGGTGGTAAAATAAGGGGAGAATTGCAGAGCGAGACTAGTTTTTAGATCAATTTTCAAGTAAAGTTAAGTAAAGAAAACAACTATTTAGATGGATTGTTTTGTTTGGAAGTTGCGTTTTAACTTCGACCTATTCAGAATTCACATAGTTAACCAGGGCATGAAAAGATAACTTCTTTGTGTAAAAGTCAATTGGCTACTTCAGTTGAACCTCTCCACAACAGCAACCTTGGTGACAAAATAAAGTGGCCGTTATGGAGAGGTAGGGCTGTAATATGACACCTGTTTTTTCATTATTTTTTTTGGTGGGGGGGGTACAACATGTTTATGGGACCAAGCTCATGCTTACTGTAGCCTACAATGGCAATCCAGTCACACCTGATATAACTATAGGTAAAATACAAAATAATATTTAAATGTAATTGGTTTTGAATCAAAATGTCGACAAGTCAAAACGAGCAAGGCTCGCAGCATTCACTATAAGTTTGTTACTGAAAACAAAGAAGGAGGGTGACTGTGACTTTCTCTTGTGCGCTACTATTCGCCAAAATTAGCGTCAACTACTCATCCTCTAAAAACATATGAGCAAAATAAAAACGTGACTCTCAGCCTAAGTATGTTCTAAAAAAGGTTCTTACAAAAAGTACCCTTGTAACGGCACTCGTGTGCCTTAATTTTTGCCTCGTAGTATTTTTAGCTATGTTTTTTATTGTAACCGCATTTTACGTCACAATGATTTTCCACTTAAGCCGTCACGTGACCTTAGCTTAAATACCGCTACACGTGCCTAGTTTTTTCAAGACTCACAGAAATTCCGCGGGTAAACATCTCAAGAAACGTCTTCGTTGTTGTTGAATTCAGAACCTTATGGAGCGTTCGCCCCAACACGTCGTACAACGGGATCCCATATCAATGTAAGAGTTGGCAGCCTGCGTAGCTGGCGGTATTGTGTAGTAGTGGAGTGAGATTTGGTGGCGGAGCCGTTGTAATATAGTGGAGTGAGATTTGACGGCGGAGCCGTCACGAGTGGCGAAGCCGCGAGAAATACCGCCTGCCAGAGAACCATGATTTTTCGAATGCCGCCCACTTTTGGCACCTTAGCTGATCGCAATTAAATCAGCCAGTCAAAGAGACACCTGCAATTTGAAACTTATTTTCGCGCGAGACAGTTTAGAAATAAACGTTGACAGGCTAAACAACCGGGGGGTACTCCCATACATCACCTATACGGGTATGTACCGCCCAACGGGGTCGTGATTTTTAAGCTCCTGGTTTAGAACGGGGTATCCATTTCAGAGGCGTTTTCTAGAGCGGGGTATAATATTTCGAATGCACGAAAGCTCCAGTGTTGTAAGCAGCCATTTGAAATTCATTTCAAGGACAGATTGCTTTTAAAAATACGGTTCAGTGCGTTAACAAGCAAACTGTTATATTCTTGTTGCACCCTAGAATGGAGTATAAAAAATTGGCCCATTTCTAGAACGGGGTATCAGTTTTAGGGCGAATTCTAGAACGGGGTATAAAAAATTGGCCCATTTCTAGAACGGGGTATCAATTTTAAGGGAATTTTTTTTAGAACGGGGTGCCAATTTGGAGTCCCGGGCGGCACATACCCACCCAAAAAATACCCAAGTGCCCCCCCCCCCCGGGGCTAAACACGACTCCTAAGCTTGTGATAATGTGAAACGTGACCTTGTGAGTTTGCTTGAACAGAGGTTTTTTATTTTCTCGGCTCTCGCGCGAAGGTTGCTACCACTACACAGTGCATGTATCATTCTAAACTTTGACTGAGTAAATCTTTTTTTGCAACACCAGACTTAACATTAAAAGGTCATGAAGCTGGTTTGTTACATGCATACTGAGTAACCATTTCCGGTGGTTTATTCTTCTGTAGGTGTTCCTGATAGGATTTGATCTCAGATGCAGCTAAAAGTGTTTTAATTTTCTTTGATCTTTGTTTCTTACGGCTAAATAAAGACAATTCCAGCGCTGTGAAGTTTAAAGACGCCATTTCGGCAATTTGGTCATCAATTATGCTCTTTTTAAAGCGGAAATCAATATCACAATCACTTTGCATGTAAGTCTTTTTCAGT